AGGTCATTATTTTGTTTATAAAAAAAAAACGCACACACAAAAGTACAAGGGAGAGCAAATCTGGTCTGGTCAGTGGCTCGCGGGCCGTTTTGCAAAAGTAAATCGGCTCACAGGCCTGATTACAATTCAAACGGATATTCTCGGCTCAATTTCGGTTCCAACGAAAATTTTCGGGCTCGATAACGAATTCAAACGCACGATAAAAATAAACCGAGCAATATATATATTTTACATATATATATATATTAATACACATTATCCACATTTAATAATTTAATAAATCACGAGAATCAATTAGACAATTAGACATTTAGCATTTAATCACATTTTGGCAGTAAATAATATTATGGCATTCAAGAAAAATAAAAATAATATTATCACAAAAATAATAATAACAATAATAATAACAATAAAAAAAAAATAATAATAATAATATTCTCAAATAATCCACAAATAAATGGGGCATTACACCTCTGGACCCAGTTCCCGATGTCTGGGACGGTCAACACAAGTATGTTGACCCAGACCACACAGGATCGCGGGGAGGCGACTGAGGATTACCTGCAGTGGTACAGTCGGGTTTCCCATCCGACTCTCATGGGCGAGGAGCTGCCGGACGAGGACGAGGTCCCAACGCGTGTCAATACCGCCTATGTAAGTTGGTTAATAAATTTTAATTAATGTTAACTCATTACAAAATTTTTTTTTTAATCAAATTTAAGTCTTATGTTTTTATTCTTTCATTTTTTTAGTGGGTGGACCGTCTTTTGGGCATTACATCGACCTTGCAGCAGATTGTTCCAGACTGTCCGGAGGCGGCGGAAGTCGAAGAACAACTGGCTAAGTTTAAGTTCGATTACGACAATGCCCAATAATAATGTAATGAATGTTTTTTTTTTTTAATTATTATTGTAAAACATTAAGTTGAATGTTTTTTTTTTTTTTAATTTGCTAAACTTAAGTTTATTTTAAAACATTAAGTTGAATGAGAAGCGTCACACCACAAGTGAATAATATTGTTCTTTTATTCAAGGAGCTTTTGTTTGAACAGTGTACCACAATTGCAACCTAGACAGGTACTGATGCTCCCAACCCACTACCGATTGATCTCGGTAACGAAACCACATGCCATGAATAGGCGGTAATGGACAATCATCAGTCAAATCTAAACGAATGTAGTGTTCTACGCGACCAAGATGGCAAATGGCAATCTCACGACATGGTCTAGCCGATGATCGTGCAGTGAGAGGCAAGACTGTGCTGCTGAATAAGTCGTGTTGCCCACCGTTTGGACCAGAGCTCAAATGAACGACAACCACATTAAATAGGGTCGCAACGGCAAAGAGGTCCTGCGGAACTTCGAACCAGTGAGTCGATGGACAAGAGCCTTTGGGCCACCTTATGCGACGGAGTCCGTCCTCGATATCTCTAAAATAGATGTACTCGTACAATTCAGGGTGGTTGTCGACCTCCTTCGCAATGTTTTCTCTTGCATCTGCCCAGTACTTCTGATGACCATACATGTGACTCGCGATGACCCGAAATCCGCAGTTACCATCCGCTTCCACATTCAGGTAACTCACTACGTAGTCCAACATATGCCAGGGGATACATTGCCAATATGAAAATCCAAAAATATTTGTCGGTCTGAACTCTGCAATAAATATCATAATAATTTCACGTCACAATTTATATAATCATATAAATACTTTAATTAACGCTCAACCGTATTTTAAAAAAAAAAATGTATGACCTTCATCCCCTTGTGACTGTTGAGAAGACGAACTTGTCTGTCCACGCGAAGAATTGGTCGTACGGCTCGATTTCCGACCTCGCGATCTATCGTTGTACTCAAAAGCAGATGGTTTACGCTTAGTTGAATTAGTTTTCTTGGGACGACCTCGCGGGTTATCCTTAACCTCAGGTTCCGCATAATCCTGTTGGTCTGGGTAAAGATGACTGTACATGAACTGATTCACGTACCGCATCGTCGCGGGATCGCGGGTTTCAACCTCAGTCACAAGCGTCTGAAAGAACGCCGCATCTGACCATGCAGCGTTGCTCGCCTGGCTCGGATGACCAGTCCCTACAAGTATACGATAAAAAAGTCAATGAATTAAAACAAATAATGTATTTTAATAGAAAATTATAAATAAAACATTAATCTTAAATTACCTGGCTCTAATATCTCGAGCGTTCTCCAGAACTGGTGAATCATTCCGAGATCAATCGGAACGTCGAAATCATCTGCGTTACGGAGGAGACAGGCACAAGGAAGTCTATGAGTGAGCTGCAATACACAACCGCAACTAGTGTAAACATCGGTGTCCAACTTGTGCATCCTCGTAAGCTCAGCGTCCAATAAACTCAGACAGTAATGCGAGACCCTCAGTATCACGCTCGCGAAACGGATTCCCTTATACCGTGTATTCTTCTTAGATCTCGAGGCCTCAAGCGCCGTCCTGATAATACGTTACATAACGTTAGATTATAATTAATTAATGCAGTAATATAATAACGCATTTAAAAATTGCAGTACGTACTTGATTTCAGTCACTTGATTATCGATATGCTTATTAATCTTCTGCCAAACCGTATCGAGCGCGCCGGTGGACGTCTGAAGCCACTCCTTCAACGCAGAGTGGGCACTCTCCACCCTACAGGAAGTTGTGTTTCCAAAATGTGTCACTCGGTTGGTCCAAGCCTTCACAAACTTCTCGCGGTGCACTAACCATGTGCCCTCCACATACCGTATCACCTCTGCATTGTTCGAATATTTTGCGCGCAGCTCGGCAACGGCATCGTTGTAGGCATCGAACGTACTGGCCTCTGCAATCGCCTTCCACGTACTGTGCGTGAAAATCTCCGAGAATTTTTTATTCTTCCCAAATAGTTGGTAGGTTTTGGCTTCCACATCCTTGTTGATGTGCCACGTGCAGAGTAAGTGGGCTGATTCAGGAAAATGCCTCTGAATAGGAGTGAGTAAACCCAACTCTCTGTCACTGACAACAACATAAGGATATACGCTTTGGCCTATCAGTAGTCTCAACTTCTCTAGAACCCAGTCGTAACTGGTCTCTTTCTCGTCCCTGATGAGGGCATACGCAATTAGGAAGTTCTGGTTGCACGGCGTCATCCCAATCATCTCGACCAACGGCATCTTGTACCTGTGCAAATGTAACCAAGAAGACAAAAAATATAAGCACATAAAACTTAACTTAATCAAACACACTATTTAAGATTCATACTAATAAAGTATTTATAAAGTAACATACCTGTTGGTTTTATACGTGGAATCTATACCGACATACCAGTGATATGTCCGGAATAGATTGATCGACGCAGGATGGGCCATGAATATATGCGTCAGCACTTTCGTGTTCGGATCGGATTCTACATAAACTGTATACTGGCTGCTCACGGCCAAATGCATAAGCTGAGTAGGAACGTCTCTACCGTCGGAACCCTCTCTCCGCAGCTTATCTCTAAAGTTATATACCTGTCACCGATTAGCGTTAATTATAATGATTATTATAATTTAAAACAAAAATTTTATTATATTAATAAATAAAAAAGTATATTAATGCGATTAATTTGATAAAAAAATTATTAACTATCACAATAATAATACATTAGTAAATATAATAAAATTTATTAATTATTACAATAACTTTTACATATAAAAAATTACTAATTATCATAATTAACTTAAAAAATTTAATTAAAACATATATTACAAGATATAAATATATATACCTGCCGCACATGAACGTTGTCTCCCGGATTCTTTTCCTTCAGCGCGGCCATAATTTTTTTCGGGGCCACCTGAGCGTCCGTCATGTCACGAACAATTCTCTTAGATGAAGCGCTGAGACCGCTCAACTGGCTATGACCCTCAGGATACACAGCAAATGCATGGTTATGGTAGCCTTTCTCTTCATTGCTACATCTACAGATCCTCCAGTATGGAACGCCGGACACCTTTTTTACTTTGATCTCAAAATTGCAGCCGCACTTATTCGTTTTTGTCCTTCTAGAATTTCCGCCTGTGCCTCTGTACCGTTCGCCTCTATGGCACTTCAAAAGTCTGACCGTTTTCTTTTTGTGGCTCGAAATAATTAATAGGAAACCATTCAGCATTGCCTGGTGTTTTGCAGCTTCAATAGCCTCCTGAGCACTATTATAGAATGAACATGTATCGAAACGCAGACTGTAATCAACACCATCTCCTCCAAAATCTTCCCATGACTCCTGCTATATAGTACAATATTTTTATTTTTAGAACATGTTAAATTAAGATAATTAATTCTACGATGTAACATAATAATTTGTAACTCGTAACATGATATTATCTAACGTTCAATTAATATAATTTGTAACTCCTAACACGATCACGATAATATCTAACGTCCAATTTATATTATAATAAACATGTAACACAATAACTTGTAACTCTTAACACGATACTATCTAACGTCAATTTATAACATAACTAAAACTAATATATAATGTAATAATTTCTAACTCGTAACACGATAATATCTAAACGTCCAATTTATATTATAATCAACATGTAACATAATAATTTGTAACTCATAACACGATAAACGTCCAATTAATAGCATAATGAAGTCTAAAATGTAACATAATAATTTATAACATAATAATATAGTCCAATTTATAACATAACTATTTCGAATAAATAACATAATAATTTAAAAAAAAAATAATAAAATAAAATAAAAAATAAAAAATTCCGGCCGGCCGGCCGAACCGGACGGACCGGTTCCGACCGGCCGTCGTTTCCGGACGGCTTTCTTGCCGTCCGGCCGTGCTTTCCGGCCGGTTTTGACGTCGTCCGGCCGGCCATTCCGGACGGTTTAAGGACCGTCCGGTTCCGGCGTCCGGACGGCTTTTAGTCCGTCCGGAACCGGCGACCGTACACGTATTTTTTCGTATCTCCGAATTTGACGACATTTCACCGTACACTTTCCTCTGAGATGTTTAGAAAAAATGAGAAGGGCAAAATTGTCCAAGGGGGCGGTGACTAGTAATATGGGGGGCGGTGAATAGTAACACCCTATAAAAGTTAACTAAAAAAAATATTTAAATAATCTGTGCAGTCTATTTAAGCCGGCCAGCCTTTGTTATGGGTATGTTTCACTCCAAAATTCCCGGCCAGGTCACCGCCGCCGCCCCCTGCACAACCACAACCCTAGGACATTATCAGGTATAATTTAGCTTTCTGAATTTACCTAGTTCATTTCCACAGTAATCTACCTATCATTATAGTTCATTTTCATTCTTCACTTAGTTTGATGTAACAATCCATCAGCATTTATTTATCAGTCAAAAGTTATTTAATATTTATCATCACACTTATTATTTGAAATAGTTTTATCATTTACAAAATCAATTCCAACAGCGAATATCAGATGGTCCTGCAGAGAATGATAACCCTTCAGATCCAGTGGTTGAGCCTGGCGGCCGCCATCTGGCTCCAATCAATCAACGGCACCAACTCCAACTTCCCGGCTTACTCCTCCCACCTCAAACACGCCCTCTCCATCTCCCAACTCCAACTTAACAACCTCGCCTTCGCCTCCGACGCCAGCAAGCTCCTCGGCTGGCTCTCCGGCCTCGCCGCCTCCCGCCTCCCCCTCCCCCTCCCCGCCGTCCTCCTCCCTCGGCCTCGCCGGCTACCTCCCCCAATACCTCCTCCTCACAAATCGAATCCACACCCTCGCCTACCCCGCCGTCTTCGCCCTCACCGTCCTCGCCGGAAACAGCGTCTGCTGGATCAACACCGTCTCCTACGTCCTCGCCATCAACAATTTCCCCCTCGACCGGAAAATCGCCGTAGGCCTCTCCACCAGCTACGTCGGCCTCAGCACCGCCATCTACACAAACGCCGTCAACATCCTCGCTGGCCGGGCGGGCTCCCCGGCCCGCCGGGCCGAGTACTTCCTCCTTCTCAACGCCCTCGTCCCACTCACCGTGTGTGTCCTAGTGGCCCCGATCGTTCTCGCCAGAGACCCGACTCTCGGGAAGTCGAGGGTTTTGGAGAGCGGTTTTCGATCCCTTTTCGTGATCACGGTTTTCACGGGCCTTCTCGGCGTGACGTCGAGCCTCTTCTCGTCTACGGTTTTGTTAGCGTTGGTGGTTGTGTTTTTCGTGTTTCTGCTAATGCCGTTGTCTACTCCGCTCGTCGAGTGGGCTCGGGAGACGATGCAGAAGAAGTGTCTGTTGAGGCTTTACGACGAGGGCGAAGGGGAGGAGATCGGGCCGTTGATGATGTTGAGACGGGTCGAGTTTTGGTTGTATTTTTTCGTGTATTTGTTCGGGGCAACGCTTGGGTTGGTTTACTTGAATAACTTGGGGCAAGTGGCCGAGTCGAGAGGATGCTCGGGGACTTTGTCGCTCGTCTCGTTGTCTTCGGCTCTCAGATTCTTTGGTCGACTGTTGCCTTCTCTATTCGACTACTTCTCATCCTCCTCCTCAAAGTAACTCATTCACACACATAAGCACATATTCATTGCTGGAGTGAACTAACTGATCATTTCCTTTTTCTTTTTTCTTTTTTCAGGAAAAAACGGGCGGCATCGACAGTGACGGCCATGGGGGCCATGACGGCCCCGATGTGTGGGGCCTTCTTCTTGTTGGTGATCATCTGTGATGACGTGGCGCTGTACGCATCCACGGCGGTTATAGGGTTGTGCACTGGAGCGATAACTTCGGTGGCTGTGACAATGACGACTGAGCTGTTTGGGGCGGCCAATTTCGGGGTGAACCATATTATTGTAGTGCTGAATATTCCGATTGGGTCCTTCGGATTTGGTTACCTGGCAGCATTGCTGTACAGCAGGGAGCGTGCGGGTGGGGAAGACAACTGCATGGGCCACAAGTGCTACCAGGGAACATTTGTGATTTGGGGGTGTTTGTGCCTGCTGGCAACCGTGCTGGCTCTCATCCTGCGATCCATAACTAAAAGAGCTGCAACACTGAGGAGATTCTAGATTTATTTATTTATTTATTTGACTTCTGTTCGAAAAAAAAAAATAATAGTAAAGACAGAAAAAATGATTATTTACCCAAGTCATGTTGATAAGGCGAGCAAGGAACTAAGGGGGAGAAAGTAATGGGTTCCCAAAGTCCACCTGCTTTAAGTAAATTCTTCAAATTCCATGAATATATAGAAACTTTCAATGCGAAATTATATTTTTTTTTTTGTCAAGTTCAGCTGGGTTTTTACCGTTTTTCCCCGTTTTTTCTGCCTAGTTTGTAGTTTTTAGTTGAGTTCGGAATAAATCCTGACCTCGGGTCGTGTCTCTCGAGGAAGGTTCTTCGGCCTGATTCTCAAGTGTTTCACTAAACTGTAAGATTCTTAAGTGTTTTCCCATTGAATCAATGTTTCGAGATCTCTGATTCTCAAGGTGAGGTTAACACTGTTATTATGTTGTGGATTTTAATCTGATTCCCTGACCAACTTGCAGGGGCGAAGCCAGAAATTTTGGTTGCTGGGGTCGGGACAAATTTTTTTTTTTGCCTTATCTTGCACCTCCCTGCGCACAATTTTTTTTTTTTGCCTTATCTTGCACCCAGAAAATTATATTAACATAATAATCTATACTTAGCAGTAAAATTTCAGCCTGGGCACTCGTCCATATATAGATCCGCCCCTGCTGCCGGGGTCTTATTATTTTTTTAATGGGGTCTTATACGGTGAAATTTTGTTACGTACAAGTGGTTCAACGCAAAGCGTCGGTGTCGGACGACCCCAGCCATTGAATCTGGCTTCGCCCCTGCCAACTTGTACATTTGATCTTTGGTGAAGAACAAGTTACGCAAAATATACCGGAAAAGAAATAAATAATTTTTTTTTTTTATTTATTACAAAACGTAGTTATGATCAATTTGAAATATGTATTGTACATGGAAATAAGTAAATAATTATATTTATTTTTATAACAAAAATTAAATTATATATTAATATTAATTGGAAAAAAATATTTAAATAAATTTAGCTACATATTAGTTATATGATTTAAGCTAAAATATTATTATAATATAAAATGTTAAGTCTTATAAGTGAGGTGTGTCAATTTAAATAAAAATAAAAATATAATGTTTTAATAAGCACCCGTGTAATAGACGAGTATCGTACTAATTTATAGTATAAACATAGAACACTTTAAATTAAACCACACCTCAATTCCAAACATCAAACACCAAAACTTACCATCCATAAAACACCTAAAAACTTCACACATCATCCCTCAATGTCCAACTTTTCACTCATTCACTAGAACACGTATCAAACACACACACACACCATGAATTAGCAGCAGCAATGCTGGTACAATCAAGCTCCATTGTCTCCCATTTCTTGCTCACAGATGTTCATTAATCTCTGTACCAAGGACGGTGTAATTGCAATTTTATACAAACTTGCTAGCTGCAGTCACCTACAAATAAAATTAATTAGCCTGAAGAATTAATTATTGACATTCAATTAAATTTTATATTCTATAGTATATTAAGAATTACTTATTGCATAAATATTTGTGAGAAAGAAAAGGAAATAAATCATCCAAACTCAATTTCTTAAAGGATTTTGCGGAGCCAAACATTAAACAGAAAATGGGGAAATGTAATTTGTGTTTTATGTTGGAGTATCGGATGGAACTCTAACAAAAATATGCATTTTTTGAGTTTTGGGCTTGTAAAGTCTCTGCCAGCTTTGTTCGTCATCCTCCACAATTTCGCACATGTCACAGCAAGACCAGCGTGACTACAATAGAAGATTATAGAAAAAAAAAAGAAAGAAAGAAAACATCTAGAATGGCCGTCCTGATCAAGTGGCTGAGCCTGGTGGTCGCCATCTGGCTCCAATCTATTAATGGGACAAATACAAACTTCCTGGCCTACTTAAACGACGCATTTCGCATCTGACGCTAGCAAGCTTAACGTTAAGCTGGACTTGGGAGATGCGAAATGCCTGCTTTACGTAGGCCGAGATGTTTGTATTGTCCCATTAGTAGATTGGAGCCAGATGGCGACCACCAGGCTGAGCCACTTGATCAGGACGACCCTTCTAGATGTTTTCTTTCTTTTCTTTTTTTTTTTTCAAATAATTTTTCATTGTAGTGGTCACTGGCTGGTCTTGCTGTGATATGTGTCAAAATGTGGAGGATGAAGAAGGGAGCCTGAGGTATTTATAAGCCCAAAACTCAAAAAATGCATATTTTTGTTAGAGTTCCATTGATACTCCAACACAAAACACAAAACATAAATTTCATTTCCTCATTTCCTGGTTGAGTGTTTGAGCTCTTCACTCAAAATCCTTTAAGAATTGAGTTTGGATGATTTATTTCATTTTCTTTTTTACAAATATTTATGCAACAAGTAATTCTTAATATACTATAGAATATAAAATTTAATTGAATGCCAAAATGCCTGCTTTAAGTTGGCCTGGAAGTTTGAGTTGGTGCGACGGGAGCCAGATGGCGACAGCCACTCTCAGACACTGGATCTGAAGGGCCATCATTCTCTGCAGATACATCATAAATTTGCTGTTGGATTAATTTTGTAAATGCTAAAACTATTATAAATTATAGCTAAGTGTGATAAATAACTTTTGACTACTAAATTAGTTATGATGGATAAGGTTGGTTTTGAAATAGTGAAGACATGATACATGATGATAGGTAAGTGTCCCATCACGCGTTTCTTAATAATAGAATTTCGTTTTTTTAATAACCCCTTTTGGAAAATTAAATATTTGGGTGATATGCATATTGAGGTTGCCAAAGAATTTGAAATTAAACCATATCATATGTAATTGTTTATTAATAACCAGATTCAACACAATCCTAGAAGGTAAATGCACAAAATCAATTAACCCCGCAGGCCACAAATGAGTGAAAATCATCAAGCAAAGCAAAACGTTTGAGTGTAACTGCAACTCACCAGTGTGCTCTCGAAGCTCGATGGAGGCACGATTGTGACCGTTGATCATGTGAAGCAGTGAAGCTTCTAGAGTTCCATCCTCCACCAGATGCGGCCCATTTTGCGCATCAATGTTTAGTGTGCAGAAATATGCAGACATTCCAAGGAAGAAAGAGAAGGGGAAACATAAAGTTTGCGTAAGAAGGAGCACAATCAATCTCCTCCTCGGAGAAAAGCAGCAGCCTTTGATTTGGAGTGGTGATGGTAATTTGGGGGCTTGTTAAGATTTCTGTTTTATGAAGCCTAAAGCTTCTTTTAGGCCATCTACTGAAGCACAATGTGTAATTTGTTTGAAACCTTAGGCTTTTCTGAAAAAAAAAAAAAAAAAAAANAAAAAAAAAAAAAAAAATTAATGATAGGGGAATTTTACATTATCAGAAATTTTTGGCTTTAATGGTTGATGATCGCCGTAAGCTACAATCGACAACATATGATCCAAGAAATAAGTACTGATGCCCTTACAATGCTAATGACACCTTCTTTTATAGTAGATAAAAAAAATGTGTGAATCATAGGAGACCATCACAAGTTGATGTCTCACCTAACGCGTGTAAAGGATAAAGATAACTGCAGGTAGAGTGAATGTTGTATTATTTCAGCATTTTTCTCTTCTCTTCTTTCTATCTTGGCCTTTAATCTTTGCGTGACTTCAAGACTCTTTGCATTGTTTTCTCTTCTTTTTCCGCCATCACCTTTTTGCCTTTTTCCACCAAATTGGGATGAAGATGGAATTATATTATCCATTGTACACATTTTGGAGTGGCATTTTTCTTGCAGTAAATTGCCGAAAAAAAAAAAAGGTTTTTTCTTTTTTTTTTCTGCTCAGCATTTAGTTTGTAATAAAGTGTTCAACCTTTTTTCTAATAAAATGTAACCTATGCATCAGTACTAGGTAATTGATTTTAAAATTATTATGGCCATATGGAGTCCGAAGTCAATAGTAATGCTCCATAAATAATGGCCTACGTGATTCTGTTAAAAATTCGAATGGCCTACATGATTCTATTGAAATTTGGTCTTACAGAGTAGGTGGGGAAGGACCAATTGGTTAGATCACATTTTATTGGTGCATGATTGTATTAATAAAAAACTTTAGGGAATTTCTTAAAAGTGGTTAGATCACATTTTATTGGTGCATGATTGTATTGTATATTAATAAAAAACTTTAGGAAATTTCATAAAAGTGGTTAGATCACATTTTATTGGTGCATGATTGTATTGTATATTAATAAAGAAACTGTGAACTCTATTTAAGTCCCTGCCATCATAAGAATGAGAGCCCGCACGCCCCCTGCTGTACACCAACGCCGCCAGGTACCCGAACCCGAAAGGAAAGACTCAATCGGAATTGAATATTCATTATCAGGTATTTTAGCTTTCAGAATCTACCTATCGTTATAGGTCATGATTTCCATCGTAATCTACCAATTCATTTTCCTTTCTTCACTTAATTTGATTTACCAATCCATCAGAATTTATTTATTAGTCAAAAGTTATTTTATCACATCGTTGACAAAATAAATTCCAACAGCAAATTTATGGATCTGCAGAGGATGATGGCCCTTCAAATTCATTGGCTAGCCTGGCGGCTGCCATCTGGCTCTAGGCTGAGTACTTCCTCCTCCTAAAACCGGTCGTCCGCTCGCTGTTTCGGTAAATAATCAGTTTAATTTTCTCTGACTNTCAAACTGTGCAATAATTTTCTTAAATCCAATTCCATTCGATTCGTTTATTTTTCTTTTATCTATTCTTTTTCACGGGCCACGCGTCTTACGAAAACAAAGATAACCCAATTTCCGGATTCGCATCCCAACATCTTTTCATAACGTTGGCCAATGAGCTCGGGCAGCATCTCCGAATTCAGGCCTCAAGTTCTGGCGAACAACTGCTGATGTCACCTCGGAGAAACTAAGGTCATGTCGCAACAATATATTTCCCACAAGCAGATGCCAAAGCTGTACACGTCACACTTTTGGTTGTAAGGGTTCCCGTTTTGCAAATACAGGCACACCTAGCAAGGTGTGGCACAAATGAACATGTTATGTTACAAAATGAACATGTGTAAATCATGTTTGCACATGTTCATTTTAAATTTCCCTGGCACACCTTGCTAGGTGTCCAAGGCACACGGTAGTAGCACTGTTCCCGTTTAACCTCTGGAGCCATGTAACCGAGGGTTCCCGTTTCCCCAATCATGTCATTTGGATTCATAAGTTTGGTGTTGGAATTAATTTTGTAAATGATAAAGTTATTTTAAATCAACAAATATTGAGACCAAATGAAATGTATACGAAGAATGTCGGCAAAATAAGAAATATATATTGGTATTTCGTGGAGTCTACGACTGAAAGAATGAAAGAAAGGGAGAAGTATCATCTGTTCTGACAACTCCTTTAAATAATTGGAATATCGTCACCCAAGAGCCAAAAATTAAATAAAAGATCTTGCCCACTAGATATCATGAATCATGCGTCATTCCCATTTGTACGTCTAGGACGGATCTTCATGGTGCCAGTGATGCTCTTCGATGTCGGGCTTTCTCCCTCACTTTGGGCCCAAAGTACAACGTTGGTACCACTCACTACCCCCACAATCCATTCAAAATTGGGAACAACGCGTTTCACATGCACTTTATGGGATCACAAGTGTGCATGATCCTCAAAGAATCAATTTCAAACTTTGTTCAACAAGCCAATGAGAACTTAAGGGACTATATTGCTCGGTTCAAAATGCACAGGAAAAGTTGACGGTTTGGACCAAAATTAATTAACAGACAATATCGGATAGCAAAATCAATTAAGTGAAAACTGTTGGTACCAAAAACAATAAACGAATAAAGTTAGGGTACTAATATAAAAAATTTTCCCATATTTTACCATCATAATGATAGAATAAGATTAACTTACATATACGCATATGGATATATATCATCTTCAAACGAATTAAAAGAAGAAACGAAAAAAATGATAGAATAAGATTAACCCACTTCAGGTTTTCAACCAATACTAATACCAATCTCAAACACAAACATTAAACATCAAACACCACCAAAACCTATCATCCATAAAAACCCCTAAAAACTTCACACATCATCCAAGAACCAATTCACTTATTCACTAGAACACATATCAAACACACAGACACACACACACACCATGAATTAGCTATAATAACTTACCCCACAGTCCCCACAGCCCTCTTGTAACTGTACCTCCTGGCCACCACCACAAACGCCCCCAAATTCACCACGCTCAACCAAGCCAGCAGCAGAAAGAAGTAGTGCAGCTTCCCCCTGTCCAGGTCATCCGGTATCCACCCTACCCCTCCCCTTCTCGTGCTCAGCCACGTCACCACCGTCACCAGAAACGAGCTCAGATAATTCCCGAGCGCCGTCGTCGTCAGCGACAGCGCCGCGCACAGGCTCCTCATCGAGTCCGGCGCCTGCTCGTAGAAAAACTCCAGCTGCCCCACGAACGTGAAAACCTCCGCACACCCAATTATAAAATACTGCGGCGCCTGCCACAGAACCGACACGTGTGCATCAGCCCCACCCCTCCCGAGCCTCACCGCCTCGAGAACCCCCGCTGAGACCATCGCAAAGACCGAGACGAGCAGGCCCGTCCCCATTCGCTGGAGCTGCGACAGCCCGCTCGGGTTGCCCGTGAAGCGTCGGGCCAGGGGGATGATGTGGCGGTCGTAAATGGGAACCCAGAAGATGACGCTTAGGGTGTCGAATATGCTGAGTGAGGCCTCGGGGATTTTGAACCCTTTGCTGCCGAGGCCCGTGTCCATGAACTCGGCCTGGAGGACGAACATGTTGCCCATCTGACCGTACACCGCGCTGAACACGATCCCCGTGGCCCACACGGGGAACAGACGCACCACGGCTTTTAGCTCCTCCACCTGGGTTACCGTGCACAGGCGCCACGGGTTGGCACGCGCGCCCTTGCTGACTTCGGATTGCGTCTCGACTGCCGCCTTGTCTAGGAAACTGTCAAAGAGTGTTAGTTACAAGAAGAAAAAATCAAACAGGGGAAAGAAGTAATTTCGAGATTTTAAACTACAAACCGGAATTGGTCCGTACGATCCAGCTTGCGGCTGCCGATTATCGTGCTCGACTGAGAGCCGGATGTTTCGTACAGAAGCGACTTGTCGTCGGGCACTTCGACCTGATACTTTCTCAACGAAGCCACCACCACCTGGCATATCCGAGTCAACGGGCTTCCGCCGGGCTTCTGGTACCGATACAGCCGTGTGCCGGAGAAGAAGAATCCCACGGCAATCGCCATGGCGACAGCTGGCACGCCGAATCCCCAACCCCAACCGACATTCTCTTGCACGTAAACCAAGACAGACGAGGCTATCAAGGCCCCGACATTAATCGAGAAGTAGAACCAATTGAAGAATGATGCCTTGCGCTTCTTCTCAGCTTCGTCCGTGTCGTCAAACTGATCGGCACCGTACGACGAGACGCACGGCTTGATGCCACCTGTCCCGAGCGCCACGAGGTAGAGCGCCAGGTAGCATATCCCGGTTTGGGTGCTCGTCGCGCGGCACTTGTCTTTCGTGCGGCAAACGGGCCTCAGGCCCGGGACAGAAGCCGATAGGGTCAAAAGTGTCATACCCTGTATACAATAAAACACATATGCAATTCAAAAAAAAAAAACGAAAATTTCGTGCTAATTTTTTTGCGGTTAATTAAAAATCGAACTTACGAAAACGTAGATTATAGAGAAGGTGGCGATAGTCCAGTATCGACCGAGATAGGCGTCGGCTAGAAAAGCGCCGAGCAAAGGCATGACGTAGCAAGTTCCGGACCAGTTGGAGAGGTTTTTCGAGGCGGTTGTCTTGTGCTGGTTGAGCTGTTTCGTGAAGTAGACGATCAGGTTCGAGCTCATACCGTAGTACGCTAGTCTTTCGCAGCATTCGTTACCTTTTCATCACCAAAATTAACCATAAATCAAACGAAATCACAGTAGCTAGAAAACAGGACAAGTATATAATAGAGTCGATCGAAAAAAGGTTATACCGAGGATGAAGGGGCAGGCCTTCCAAGTCCCGGTTTTTTTCCGGTTAGCTGGACGGTCCATATAGTCCACGGTTCCATCTTTCGTGTAGTTATTGTCGGCCATGGGTTCGTTATGTCTAGACCGGGACCTGGAGATTTCGAAATTTCTTCAGATTTTTAACAGGGATTATAGTAAGGTTTTACACTACCATCTCATGGAGTTTTAACATGGATTTTACATTTTAGTATTAAGCTATCAATTTGGTTGAGATTTGAATGCGTTATTTATGGACAAGCATTTTGGAATGAACGAAAAATCAGAAAATAACCACATTGGGATGAAAATTGAATTGTGTCATTCATTGTACACATTTTGGGGTGGCATTTTCTTGCAGTAAATTGCTGGACAAAAAAAAGGTTTTTGCTGCTCAGCATTTAGTTTCTTGCCCCCACAGTTTGAAATTGAGAGAAAAAAAAATATGATAAAAATTAATAACGTTTTAATAAATAATAATTGCTATGTAAGTACAAAGATCCAGATCATCCAATGATCTTTTTTACGGCATGTGTAATAAATAAAAAACTAAAAATACAAAAAAAAAATGATAAACTATGGAGCCATTAAATTTACGCTGTACCAGAACGTATATTGGAAAAATGATATCCTCAAATGATAAATTCGAAAAAAGTACACACAATCTTTTACCACAAAAAATACAAGAATAATGATCTCAAAACCAAAAGGCTTTTGAAAAAACAACACAAAACCCAAAAAAGAGGACATCAAAACAAATAATCAAATGAAAAAATATATGCACAAAGAGCAAAACTTACCTTAATTCCTTGATGGCTTTGATAATGTGCTGCTACATATATTAACATGAACGTATGAAATATCATCAACATTATATATGTGTGGTAAAAATTAAGTTAATCCCAAGATATTGTCTCAATATTATATATGTGTGGTCAAAATTAAGTTAATCCCCCCAACCTAGAGCATGTGATTGTGAGAATGATAATGTAAAGTCAAATCTGAATAATCCTTAATCAGTGGGACTACAATTTCTGTGATCATATTTATATGGATAGCCATTAAATTTGTATGAAATTTTGGATTTTGTAATTATGGTAATTTTCCTTTGGATGCATTTGGAATGTACCCAAAATAACGTAAACATTCATTACATTAATTGGCAGATCCTTCCAGATTCACTTCACTCCATTCTAATACTTCAATATCTTTCCCAATTTCTGGTAAGGAGACAGCTAATGGTTATTCGAATCTACACTTCATATTTTTTAACAGATGTACAAAATATAATATGCTGTACTTTTGGTTAGTTTGTGTTTAAATTATGGCATTTAAATATAACAGTATGTTTAAAAAAATATATATATATCTATCTAATAATGTTCTGTCCAACATCAAGGACAAACAAACAAGTTTTGCCAAATATTTTGATGTGGTCAGAGAGATTCACATAATCTATAGAAAGGATTTAGGAAAAAATAAATTGAACTTGGAATATGATTCATCCTCTCCCTAAGAGCAAGGCAATAATGTGAGTATCACTTGTACAGCTCACTGTTAAACTTGATAATAAATTGGTCAAAAGAAAATTTTAGATAAAATTTGCAATTAAACTTGGTATTGAAGTGGTCAAAAGTAAAATTTTAGAGAGAGGTGAATGAAGGCAATCTGCAACCCATCCTCTACTCTTCCTTTTCATCACTACTACAAAAAGTACTTTTTACAGAAGTAAAATATTATTGTAAAAGAAGCAATATTGTGCAAAAAACATATTAGTTCCAAGTTGCCACAATATGTTGCAACCTTTTTTGTCACATTAGGGAAAAAAAGGTAATTTTTGCAACACTAAAGTGCTGTTGCAAAAAAATCCAAAAATGCAAATCATTGTTCACAAATGATAATGTGGGAAAAACCAAGGTTGTCAAAACCGGACCGGACCGGCCGGTTGAATTAGGAACCGGCCAGTTCTATGGAAGAAACCGACTGTCAGCAAAACTGGTCAATGTGTTCATGTGTGATTTTACACCATATTTATTGAGTATCTAGAGCTTAGTCATTGCATTATTGTTGTATAAATTGCATTATTGTGCTATAATTCTATATCTTGTGAAAAGGTATTACACGTGCTTGTTTTGTAGATATTTTCACATATTTGTAGAGATTGTGGCTATTGGAGGCGCATGGTGATAGATTGATGCACAGATGAAAAAAATGGAAGAAACGAGTGAAACGAGAAAAAATAAGAGTGCAGATTTGTGATACGGGTAGTGACACGGGCACTATGCCCGTGTCAGAGTCCGTGTCACCTCAACAGAGGCATATTGGGTCAGTACACTTGACACGGGCTGCGCACGGGCAGAATGGCCGTGTCGCGTGCGGAAACAATTTTTTAATTCTTGCATATTTTGATGAGGAGAAGGCTTTTGGACACAAAAAGAGGCATATTTAACCTATTATTGAAGAGAAAAACGAGATTAGACATTGGAGGAGCCCTAGAACACACATGAGAGGCAATTGGAAAGCAAAAGAAGATTCAACCACAAAGGGATCAAGAAGATTGAAAGATCGACGAGATTCCTAGTTTTTATTTCTTCTTCCTTTTGAACTTTTATTATCATGTTGATTTCTAATATGTCTATGTATTTGAATTTGAACATGAGTGGCTAGTTTATTTGATTCTAAGACTTGGTAGTAGATTAATATGTTGGGATTTTGGATGATTTATTATAATTGATTGTTTTCTTTTGAACCCTATTCAAATATTTTGTTCTTATTTCATGTTTAGCACTTGGCCAATGTTTTTACATGTTTGACAATATTGTTCATAATTCGAGAGATGAGTTCAATGTTAGGTCTTTAATATTTGACACAATTTACTTGCTTGAATCGAGAGATTAATAGGTCGTTGTAGGGATATTAGATCTTTTAATCTATTTGGAGTTGAATTGCATGTGTTGAGTGGAGACGCTAATATATGTGATGTAATCTACGGTTTTATCGATCTTGAGAGGGACGATAAACTAAATTTGTGATCATCTTATAGGGTAGATAAGTTATGATACTTTTGAAGGAACCCAACTGTTAATTGAAACCATAGTCTTAGAATCTATCGTTTTCCTATATCTTCTTACGTGTTTTTCTAGCTAGTTCCTCATTGTTGCTTTATTTTCTTTTGATTATATTTTCTTAGTTTAGTTAATCCATCTCATATTCGGTCGTCTAAATAAAGTTGACACTATCATAGTCTTGTACTTAATATATTAATTATTTGGTCTCTTGGGATACGACCTTGCTTGCCACATACTACGAGCGAAGCCGTACACTTGCGGTTGAGCTTTAAAAATATATGCGAACACAATGATCGGTCGAACGGGCCAAAAACCGGTTGGTTCAACCGGTCAAATAATTTTTATGTATATAAATAAATTCTAACACTTTTATAAAACAACTAACCTTTTATGGTTACCAATGTGGGACAAGATGTAAGAATTCCAAATTTCCAATTGTAAAGGTAAAACAACGCGTGGAAGGAATTTCTTTTCCATT